GGATAGATTATATTGACATTCCCTAAAGTTTAATTTTAATACAAATTCTCCCCTAGGGTTGGGGAAATTACACTACCCTCCTTGAGGTTTCAAATCGTATTACAATTTCGTCTATTCTGTCAAGCTCCATTAGACATCAGCACTAAAATGCTAGTTTTAACCTTCTAATTCAACCCAAACCCAATCAAATAACCCACTCCTGACCCATTTGTAAACCTAATTCAAAGCCAAAGACAGAAATCGAAAGGAAGAAATAGAAGAGGATCTCGATACGCAAATCGCTTCTTCTATTGTCGTTCGTCGTGATGTTATAGCAGTGGGGTATTGCTCCATAGTAGAAGAGGTGCTGGAACTAGAAAATCCAATGACAATAAATCTCAAAAGCCTCTGTATAGTGTGGTTTTTTATGGTAGTGAGGAGGTTGAGTATGCAACATTGAAGGTGTTGGTGGTCTCTTTCTTTCTCTGGGTTTTTTTATTTTTTATTTTTTTTTTTCGGGGGGGAGGGGTCTTTTAAATGTGGTAGTAGTTAATTTAGTGGTGGTTCATGCTTGATTTGGTAGTGGCGGAGGAGTGTAGGTGGTGGCGTGGGGTGGGATGGAGTAGGGATGCCATGGAAGAGTAGAAGAGGCAGTAGTAGGAGAAGAATCTCATACTTCAAGTGTTTGATGAATTGCTGAAATGAACTGCAAAGAAGAAGAGATGGAGTCACTGAACATAACTTTTGATATGAATTACCATTCAATTCAATGGGTTTATTGATTGAGACGCCAATGTTGCAAGTGAGATGTGACAGGTTTGCGAAATTGAATTTGTAATTGGATTTATGAAAAAAAAGATGACAAACCTATTTATTATTTTACACTAGCACATGCACTTGTCATCCTTTGATTTCAATTAGGTGTCAACCACTGCAACCTCTGTTTTCTTCCTTGTTTCGACGACCAATAGTTCACTACCCATCTCCATATTTCTCTCCCCCTTCCCAAATTGCACACATAAATACTGTTAAAATAACTGATGTATTATTATTAATTGATGTAGATGTTGTGTGTTTACAAAGAGATTTACACTCTCTTTATAGAGAGGAGAAAGCCAACATTGGGTGCCAATTGAGGCACCGAAAGCATAAAGCAAACTAAACATAATGATACCACTAGCATCACTAACATATAATACTAACATATTTTAACAGCCCCCCGCAAACTCAAGGAGGATAGAACTTAACCAACTTGAGTTTGGAGAGAGTAACAAAACAGAAAAATAAGCTGACAATTAAAAATGGGATAGGAGACACTGTATGGTCGTGTCGGACCGTTGTAGCAGACAGTTTACGGGGTCATGTCGGACCGTTGTAGCAGGTTGTGATGATGTACCAAGGGGGCGACTTAGGGAGTGCGCCATGAGCTCACGCGCTCCTAGAAGTTGGCGCGTGAGTCACAGTCTCGACACGCGCCCACACGCGCCGTTCAGGCACCCGGCGCGTGGTCCCACTCTCATCCACGCGCCACACGCGCTGACGGAGGAAGAAGACGAGTGGGGGCGCGCGTGAAGCTGACGTCAGGCTGACGTCATCCTGAGCCGAGCCGAGCCGTCGAGCCGTTGACCGCGCCGCTGACCAGGCCGAGCCGTGCCGGAGCCGCGCCGCCAGCCAAGCCGCGCCGCTGAGCCGCCGTTGACCGCGCCCCTGCGCCGTTGACCGAGCCGCTGACTGCGCCGTTGACCAGCCGATCCGGAGGAATTATCTGGTGCTTCTCAGGCGCACCAGATTCAGCAGATCTAAACCGTTGAAATTGTTTTGGCTAGATCTAGGCCATTCGGAGTCCGTTTTTGGCGATCCAATAGTGAGTTCCAACTATTTGGAGTATTCCGGACACATCCGTACGGTTAGTTTTTGAATCGGAGGCATTCAAACTCTTTTGGCTAGATGTAGGCCATTCGGAGTCTGTTTTTTGGCGATCCAATAGTGCGTTCTAACTATTTGGAATATTCCGGACCCATCCATACGGTCAGATTCTTAAATCGGAATTTCTTTAAAAAGGGAAGAAATTTACAATGGCAGGAAAAGGCACAAGTTTCATGATTGAGCCTTTTAATGGCAGTAATGACTTTACCCTGTGGCAGCGAAGGGTGAAAAACATTTTAACACGAGAAGGTCTGGTGAAAGCTCTTCTCAAAAAGTCCAACAAACCGGAAGACATGAAGGATGACAAGTGGGAGGAGTTGAGGGAATTGGCAAACAGTACAATTCAGTTGTATCTCGGGAACAACACACTCTGGGAAGTCATCAGTGAAGTAGATCCTGCGGAGCTATGGGCAAAGTTAGAGATGAGGTACAAGTCAAAGTCTTTGACAAACCGGTTATCTCTAAAGAGGCAGCTATATACACTTAGAATGCCAGAAGGTGCGAACCTCACAGAACATCTGGACGAGTTCAATAGGATCACAATGGAATTGGACACCATTGGAGACAAGACCCAGGAGGAAGATAGGGCTATGATCTTGCTGGTCTCTCTACCTGCATCATATGAGCATCTCAGGACAACTCTATTGTACGGGAAGGATGCTCTTGGACTGGATGAGGTGATTGCTACGCTCATTTCTCATGAGTCGATGAAGAAACAGGAAGGTAGCAGTAGCAAACACCCAGAAGGAAATGCCATGGTTGCCTCAGAAAATGAGCAAGGCAGAGGTAGGTCCAATGATAGACGGGGTAGATCCAAATCAAGAGGACGTTCGCAATCAAGGTCAGGCTTCAGGAGAAAGTGTTATTACTGTGATCAGGAGGATCACCTCATAAAAGACTGTGCAAAGCTCAAGGAGGACAATGCACACAAGGAACAGGCGAGCTCATCAAATGTCGCTGCTGTAGTAAATGCTAAGGATGAGTATGCATTTACAGTTTCGTCGAGTATGACGAAACCTGACTGGATCTTAGATTCCGGAAGCACATATCATATATGCATGGATAAGAAACGTTTTTCTACCTACCAAGCCAATGATGGAGGTATTGTTCGAGTGGCTCAACGGTCTCCTCCCGTTGGAGGACATGGCGGGGAGGCCGGAGATGACGTGGACCTCCCGGACGGTGCCGACGTTGCCGTTGCCGTCGATGAGGTGGCAGCTCTTGACGAAGTGCTTGTACGCTTGTGGGTTGTCGAAGCGGCGGACGACGGACCAGACGGTGGAGACGGGAGCGGCGATGTGGTGGACGGCGGCGGAGCAGCACTGGTTGGGACCCACGGCGTGAGTGTGGTAGCGCGCGACGGAGTCCGGCACCGGAGTGGCGCACGTTAGAGGGGTACGCCGTTGATGGGATTGTTTGTGGCAAGTGTTTGTAGTGGTGGTGTTGATTCTATGAAGAACAAGAGATGATGATTTTAATGGATTTGAAAGCATTTTTTTTTATGGGTTTTGGATTCTGCTTTTGGGGAAGAGAGATTGGAGGATCACTTTTCAGATTCCGGCTGGGCTGCCTCTCGGCGGAGCGGACACCACAGGAGGTGCCGCCGCCGTGGGGCTGGTGGTCAGATCGATTGGAATCGGATCGGGTCATGGGTTGTACGACCCAGGTGTGGTTGGAAGTAATGAGATTCAGAGCCGACAGCGATTCGGAGATCACGAAGGGGTTCTGTTCGTGCTTGATTTGAAGTAGGAGGAGAAGCTGTAGGAGTAGGAGGTATGTGTAAGTGATATGTGTTGAAAAACTCCCGCGGGCAGCGAAGGCAAGGTTGCCGGCCGGCTGCCCGCCGGTGAGAAAACAAAATACAGGCCTAAATCTTATAGCTCTGATACCATGTAAGATAAATTGAAAGAGAGAGAAAAATTGTATGTATTATGATTGATGTATTGATTGTTGTATGTTTACAAAGAGATTTACACTCTCTTTATAGAGAGGAGAAAGCCAACATTGGGTGCCAATTGAGGCACCGAAAGCATAAAGCAAACTAAACATAATGATACCACTAGCATCACTAACATATAATATTAACATATTTTAACAAATACATCTCTGTTATCTCTTTCTTTTTCTTTCACTGACTACCACCGATGCCTAGGACTTTTTTAGTTATTATTTTGGGTAAATAACGCCTGAGATCTTTAGCTCCACAATTTGGTTTTTTCTCACTTCCTCTATTTGTTTTTTCTTTATCTAAATTGACACGTCATGAACACGAGTGGCTTCGATTATGGAGTGATTCACTGAAGTTTTTATTTAGGCAAAACGTTTATGCAATCACCAGATTTGTGAACACCTCTCTCTCTCATTTATAATGTAAGATTGATTTGTGTCGAGCTTGGGTTCAATTTCGATTTTGAAACCCACTCTGCTGATGGTGGTTAGAGGTGAATCATGGAAAGAAAAAGGTAATGGAAGAGAATGTTGTATATTGTATAAGGTGGAAATGAAGAAATTGTGTCAGAGTGAACAAGTTGGACAGATTATGGGTGGAGCAAGGATCCTCTAGAGTGATTTTTTCCTAAAGTTTCCTAGAGTGCTACATTGTGTGGTTGAGATTTACTGGCAAGTCACATCAATTTTTCTGATGTGACTTGCCAGTAAATCTCAACCACACAATGTAGGACTTTAGGAAACTTTAGGAAAATTTCACTCTAGAGGATCCTTGGTGATTATGAGCAGGTGGGTGGGTGTCTGAGATGAGGATGGTAGTATACTATATTCATATTTTTAATTGAGGATATTATGGCATTACATCTTTTCTGTTACCTAGGTTAAAAGACAAACACTGACAAGGGCGTCAGTGTAATTTTCAAAATGTGAAAGAGGAATTTGTATTAAAAGCCAATCTCAACGGATGTCATTGTAATTTACCTTAAATTTAAAATTTTAACTTCTATGAAACTTACTTAATTCTGACTGAATTTATAAATATCAATATACATTATTATAAATTCATCACCACAACCACTATCATCGTGTCACTACTACCACTACTACTATCACTTTCATCACTGATGTCATTATTGCCATAAACACTATCATATACTACTACCACCATGGCTATCGCTACCACCACCGCCTCCACCATCACCATCATCATCATCATCAATGCTATCGTTATCATTACCACTACCACTATCATCACTATCACCATCACAATCAATGCTATTGCTACCGCTAACATCACCACCACCACCACCACTATCACCACCACCATCAACGGTACTCCCACCACTAACATCATCACCACCATCAATGGTACTACTACCACTAACACCACCACCACCATCACCACTATGTCACCGCTACCGCTATCACTACCAACACCACCACCAACACTATGACCATCTCCATCAACATCACCATCATACCATTATCACCACCACCACTACAATATAAAAATTAAAATATATAATTTAAAAATAGTAAATTTTATTTTTAATCTTATACGTATCAAACAACTTATTTTTAATTTAACACTTAAATTTTTATCAAACGGCTTTCAACTTAAAAAATTTAACATGCGAATTTTAATACTTCATTTTTAATTTTTAATTTTATCAAACACCATCTAAGTCCCCTTTGCAAAACAAATAATGAAATCAACACAGAGTAATTTGTTTTTCACAAATATATTTTGGTTATTGTTTTAACATTTGTTTAAAGTTTGTATCTGATTGATGTATGTGAAATGTGAGTACATACTGTTTAAAGTCTCTGTCTACTGGCGAATCCATCAAGGAAAGCACAAGATTCACTTGCACAAGTGACATGAGGTTATAAAGGGAAGGAATTTAGCTCATGGGCATAGAATCCAAAAGCACCATTGTGGCACAAGCGGAATATAGCTATAAAACCATAATACTCTCTCGATGAGAAAAAATCTAACCGAAGCCCAACAAATTGAGATGGAGACCACCATTAGGCAAAGGCAACTTGCCCAATTTAGGATATGAGTAAGGGTCATGTCCAATGGTGGTTCCACCAGGATAAGGATCTTAGTTTGAGATTGATGGAATATAGGTTAGAAGTAATCCAACCTAGCCTAGGGAAATAAAGGAAGAAACAACAAACAAAACCATTCCTGCATAAAAATACATAAATAAATAACATAAAGGGCTATAAAAAGGCTAACCCCCATGGATTATGGATGCACAGCATTGAGGCTAGATTCTCTCCCTCTAAATCCTACATCTACGCTCTCATTATCTCTCTAGTTCTTCACTAACTTAAGTATCAGAATGCCTTCGAGAGCATTTGTTCAATCTACCTTGTGATGGAGATCATGAAAGGAAAGGAATGAAGACTTATTATAGGCGTAAGAGGCTTCAAGTGAAACCCTACAATTTATAAGATACTTTGTTTAGAATTTTTAGGAGATTTTATTTTTGAATTTATTTATTTCCTCGTTTTGCTTTAATATTATGGAACATAAATTCCACTTTTGAAGGGCTACCAAGAGTAAGAATGGAGCGGCAGCAAGGTGGGTGGAATACGGTATTCCCTCCACGAAAAGGTAGACATGAAGGGGCAGCTCACCTCCACACGATCTTTGTTGATGAGATCCCAGACTCGATGAATCCTAAAGGTTTGTTAACCATGTTTTCAAACTTTGGAGTTGTTAAAGATGTGTACATCCTAGAGAAACGGTGAAAAGCAACAAAAACCATATTTGGTTTTGTACGATATGACTGTCCTGTTGTAGCGGGAATTGCAATTCAGAAAGCCAATAGAGTGTGGTGTGGTGATAAATCTTTGAAGGTGAAAAAGGCTGATTTCGAAAAAGAAAATGATCAGAGCCATCCAAGACTAGGAGCACATAAACCAGATAGGGTCTCGAGACTAATTGGCACTGGTATTGGAGGGAGAAGTTCTTATGCGGAGTTTCTGAAATGAGGGAGGTTTGAAAGTGGTAATCATATCAGAACTAAAGCGGATGAATATGCCATTGGCTGGTTAATACAGAGTGCAGTAATCAAATTTAAACCTCATTGTAACTTCGATGGTTTTAAGACTGAATGTCGTAATAGAGGATTGAAGGACATACAACTTAGAGAAGGCAGAGAGAGAAATGCATTTATCACTTTTAAATCCAAAAAGGATATGAAGCAATCACTAAACAGTTTAGAAGACTGGGTATTGGAGTGGTGTGATTCCATCACTGAGTGGAACAAAGATGTCAGGTTGGATAATGAAAGGTTAGTTTGGTTAAGTTGCTTTGGTGTACCTCCAAATCTCTGGAATGTTAATAACTTCAGGAAAATTGGTGATGCTTGTAGTGAAGTTGTAGAGCTTGATCATAATGTATTAAGTATGGAGTCTTTGAAATGCGGGAAAATCAGAATCTGTACATCTCAACTGGACCGTATTGATAAATTGGTTACTCTGGAAAAAGATGGTAGAACCCACTTTGTTCGTGTAGTCGAAGTTGGAGAGCTGTCACCTATGTCCATGGTCGGTAATGACCATTGTTCTGCAACTTACCATGGACGCAAGAATAAAGGTAATGACGTGGGAAATATTGTAGCTGATGTGGAGAGAAGACATTACATGGCAAATAGCAAGAAGTCTAATGATGTGGTGGTGGGGATAGGTCACAAGCACACGTGTACTTCAGACTCTATATCGATGGTTAATGAAACATGTATTGAGTTGGGAATTTGCAATCATGATGTAGTTGATCCAGTACCCAATGTCTGCTTGCAGGCACCATTAGTAAGAGAGGTTGACAGGGGTGGAGGACGAGGATGTGTGGTGCTAGAGACATCCAATGGGCCCAATGGGCTCATTAGAAGTTTAATTGCGGGGGATATAAACAGGCTCAACATATTTTTAGAAGTGGTTTTGGATAAAGCCCATTTTGATGGGAATCATCTGGGGCCTAAAAATGCAAAGGCCACTGTTGTTGAGGAGGTTAACCTAAATGAAGAAGCTGAGGCAAGTGATAGTATAGATGATGAGTCAAGCCCAAGTGAAGAAGAAGGGGAAGTGCATCAATCTGGTGATTATGTTTAGAAGAGTAGAGAAGAAGCCCAGCTCAATGAAAATAGAGTGTTGGGCAAAATCTGGAAAAGAAAATGGCACAAAGGAATATCATTCAGAAATGGTTTTCAACGAGGTGCTCTTGTTCAATCTGCAGCAATAGCATCCTTATCATCTTTATCTATTAGTAACGTTTTACGGAAACAAAAGAGAATCAGACAGGAAGCCGATGCCACAATGCAGTTGGGTAAGACTCTGGGACTGGCAATGAATGGGGAAGAAACTGAAGTTGTGAAGCGAGTTATTCAGATGGAAATTGAAGATATTGAGAGAATGAAGGCAAAAGAGGTGGTGCCAGATGCTTAACTATAGCACTTGGTAGGAGGTTCTAGTGTGTACCTGTATCTTTATGAAGATTCTATCTTGGAACGTGAAAGGCTTGGGAAGGGCTGATCGAAGGCGTAGGGTAAAGGAATTTCTGAGGTTGAAAAATGTGGATATGGCTTTGTTGCAAGAAACAAAAAGATCAAATATTGATGAAAGTGTTGTTAGGTCTTTGTGGCCTTTTGATTCGGTGGAGTACATGGAAATGAGCGCGGAGGGAAGTGCAGGTGGGATTTAGTGCATCTGGAATCCTATGATTTTCTCACTACATGAGTGCTGCTGTTCCAGAAATTTCATCCTTTTGGCAGGTATTATGTATTCTTCTATTAATTGTGTTATTGGTAACATATATGCTCCTAATGAAGATTTGAGTAAGAGAAGGTTATGGGGTACTTTATCCAATTTGAAGTCGATATTTCCTAATCCTTGGTGCTTAGGGGGAGATTTCAATAAAGTAAAAAATATTAGTGAAAGAAAAAGGGTGTTTAAAAAGGGATAGAGAAATGGGTGAGTTTTGTAACAACCAGGAAATTTAAATTGTCCCTTAAATTTTATACTAGTATTATGATTATATGTGATAATATATTATTAAATAAATAATAATAAATACAGAATCTAATTTGGCATTGAATTATCAAATATGAGATTAATTAGGGATTATTATTTATGGCCAAATTAACAGAAATATGGAATTATAATGCTAGTTGAGCCAAATTAAAGTTAAAGATAATAAATAAATAAATATAAAAGTAAGAGTAAATAAATAATAATATTGATAACAATAATAATAATAATGGGTGTGGTAGTAAAATAAATAATTAATTTTTTGTTGGTATACAATAGAGTGTAATTTAATTAGAGATTAATTTATTTATATAGTTATATTAGAAAATTGGACCAAAGTATAATTATCTTAAATATTTATTAAAGATAAGTATAAATCTATATAATTAATGAATCAAATTTGTGAGAGGATTCGCTGGCCATGTGTTGGCCTGTCAATGCTCTTACCTCCTTCTATAAGGAGGAGGTGATTCACCTGGAAAAAGAAAGAAAGGGAAAGAAAGGGAAAGAAGAAAAGAAAGGAAGGAAGAGAGGAAGGAAAAAGGAAAGAAAGGAAGAAAATGAAGGAAAAAAATAATGGAAGCTAAGAGGGAAAGAAAATAATGGAAGTCGAAAGGATCTTTGGTAGTGGAAAGAAAGAGTAGGGTATTACTTTTAAGGTGAGTTAGATTATACCTTGAGTTACCATAATATATTTTACGTATCTTTTGACTTATCATATTTATTTTATACAAGTTATATTTTATTAGTTATATTAATATAAGTTATGTTTTATAAATATTTCAGTTACGTGGATCAATTTTTGAACTCTATTTGTTTAAAATGAAACTCACGGATATATTTGTTTATATTTTAAAAAATATTTGACTATAACCTTATAAACAATTATATTTTGTAAGTACCACCACGAGAGTCCCACACCTTGGGGGACTTAAATAACTATTGGCTTCTGTTTGATCACTTTGTGGTCCTTGTGGTCCTCTATTGTCATGGATCTATTGACCTCTGTTCTGTATAGAGCAAAATGTTGTGTGGAGATAAGTGTTATATTATTGTGAGAGCCACCTCTATAATCCGTACAAGCCACCTATTGAATCTGTACCTTTGTTCTGACTGTCACTTCTGTGACTTCTGTTCTGTTCTGTTCGATATCATGGTTATGGTTATATATTTACATAATCTTAGTTTTGCTACTTAAATGATTATTTGTTCAGACTAAGTTATTTTAAATATTTCAGTTACATAACTATCCATGGTTATTTTGTGTCCCTTATACTCTTGGTATAATATTTCTCACTCTGCCATGTACTTATAGCTGTTTACCAATTTTCAAAAAACAGTGCAATTCAGAAATAGCTTTTGGAAAGTCTTAGATGCAAGGCTGCGGAATAGACACACACAACACTTTTATGATATTTTTTATATGTAAATATCGGCCTTTTTGGTCAATAAATGTTGTAATAAAAATAGAAGCTCCGATAATTATTTTGGTACCCTCACTTAAATATTATTTCCGCTCGTGTTTATTTATTTGTTTAAGAATTGGCCGGAGGTAACCTCAGTTACTGGCCATCACGATACTTAACCCTTGGATACGAGGAGCGGGTCGTGACAAGTGGTATCAGCGCAATGGTTTATAAATAATAAAAAAAATCATCATTGGAGCATAGGACACACGCAGATTTAAGAAATAGGATAGCGGGCAATTAGTACCTAAATATTGTATTTTGTTAGTCGATTTAATTATATTATAATTTTATATGATATATATGATTACATATATAATAATTTTTTTTTAGTATGCCTAATTTGTGAAGGATATTAGATATAATTTATATTTGTT